TTAGCAGCGCGAAACATTTTTCGCTGCGGGAACCTCGGGTCCACTGATTTTTCGCTGCGGGAACCTCGGGTCCACTGATGATCAGAGGTGGACCTGAGGTTCCCGCAGCGAAAAATGTTTCGCGCTGCGAAACGCGAAAAATTCGCTTTCTGTCCTAGTGAACCACACCCTCACGAATTCCCCGATTCTCGTGACAGTATAGTAGCGGGCAGCAGTCCCACCACTTACATACATTTCTGTTCAAAAAATGCGGCGTGCCCACCCTACTTGTATAGCACCTGGTGAGGTGCCAGACAATGCAACCGTGGTGTGACCTGAGCGATTGCTTGCGATTTATGCGATAGGTTGCCATTTTCAACCTGAGGACCGGGGAAATAGGAGGTTGTTTTCGTGTGTCCAAGCAGTTCCGCAACCGAGTTATGATGTTTCGTGCCGTTAACAGATCACTTGAACTTGATACTTCAAACCGCCTCAATTTGATGTTCCCGCCTGCGTTCTCCTGCTTAAACAGCTGTTCATGGCCACTGTGATTTCACATATTCTAACTTTTGCCATAATTGGCTCACCCACCCCTGAGTCCCTCCCTCCTCCAAGGCTTAGTCCTAGGGCTCCCACTTCCTCATTGGGATTTGGAGCCGAGTCAGGTGCTGTCCTCTAATCGTCTGTGCTCTCCTCGTTCGTAGCAGATAGAAGGAAGCAACCCTTAAAACGTTTCGTGGCAAACTCCGTCCCCTTGTGTTCACGTCTCATCCACAGAAACAAATGGTCTCCGTTGCTTCGCTAACCTCAGTCCACTTTTTCCCCGGTTTCTAAGAGTTCTCGAAACTGATGAGGATTTGTAGGGAACGCCCACCCACTTAAGGGCACGCTCCGCCCTCAACGGACAAGCTCCACTCATTCCAGGTCTGCTGGGAGCACCTTAGACCTTGCTCTTCATCCCCCACCTTTCTGCTCTGTAGGCTTTTTCTTAGCTGAATCATTACCTTTTTTTTATCTAGTACCGCCTTTTTTGGGGAACTTTCTGCCCGCCGCAGGAGGGTAGATTGACCTGGCACTTCAGTGCACACCTCCACCCATTTCCCCGGTTTCAAGACTTGGGAATCAGTTTTGGAATGTTCGTCGGCACCGCCTATCTGTACGCATGACTCGCCCATTATGGCCGGGGTTCCACTTGGCTCGTATGTGTTCCGTACTTGGATGAGGGTCCGTAGGACGGAGAATGACTTTTTGACTTTCCGCAGCGCGAAACTTTTTCGTTGCAGGAACGCCAGGTCCAACCTGGGCTTCCTGCAGCAAAAAAGTTTTGCGCTGCGGAACGAAAAAATCGCATTTTGTTCGAGAGGCCCACACCTTTCCGTACTTCCTCTTCCATACCCTACTCATCTCAAACTTCTCCCGGCTCTGTGGTTATTTGATTTCGTGGCAGGCAACGGACAGTCGATACACAGTGACGTAGCGTATTGCATATAGTAGAGATATTTCAAGAATTTCGATAAATAAAGTTTTTCAGTTCATGAGAGGTTGTTATGTCTTTCGCCCATGGTGAGGTACTGAAAGTTTTTGTGTGCGGAATAGTCCTCTGGAGCTTTTGCGTGGATGCCGCTATCCTCCAAAAGCCTGTTGTCTATGAGCAGCACGCTGCCTCTGATTTGCTAAGTAGAGGTAACAGTTGTTCATGTTGGCTTTATTTTGTTTACGGGTTTTTCTTTCAATTTAATGTATTATTATATGGCTCCTTCTCTGTTGGTACGCTACGACATGTTTATTGTGGTTACTAGTTGTTAATTGCTCTTCACTTCGATGTTAAAAGCATTGCCCAAAGTGGATCACTTGGACCTGGACGTTCAGGTCCAACAATCAAAAGTTTGTCCCTGCTGAAGAAACATTTTGAATCCTGTGCGGGTTCCCTTTCCGCAGTGATGAAATCGCAAAGCATTGGTTTTATGGCCTTTTCTGGGTTCACCTCGCTCTTTTGCTCAAAGCATGACTGGTTGTCTCTCAGCTCGACACCAACAATCTTGTGTTAACCGGCAACAAATCAAACAAATAATCCCTCATCTTTCGAACGTCATGTCACTTAATC